TATCTCAATTGTTGGGTTCTTTTTTTTTTTTTAAGAATACTAACAAAGGGGCGCCTGGGTGGCTCAGTTGGTTAAGCGACTGCCTTCGGCTCAGGTCATGATCCTGGAGTCCCGGGATCTAGTCCCACATCGGGCTCCCTGCTCAGCAGGGAGTCTGCTTCTCCCTCTGACTCTCTTCCCTCTCGTGCCCTCTATCTCTCATTCTCTCTCTCTCAAATAAATAAATAAAATCTTTAAAAAAAAAAAAAGAATACTAACAAAGGGGGTGCCTGGGTGGCTCAGTCGGTTGGGCATCTGCCTTCGGCTTGGCTCGTGATCCTGGGGTTCTGGGATCGAGCCCCACATTGGGCTGCTTGCCCAGCGGGAAGCCGCTTCTCCCTCTCCCTCTGCCTGCTGCTCCCCCTGCTTGTGCTCGCTCGCTCTCTCTGTCAAATAAATAAATAAAATCTTAAAAAAAAATAATAAAAAGAATACTAACAAAGAAGTATGGGCCACCTTCACTTAAAGAATAAAGCTTCCAGCCCTGCCCCAGACCAGCATTTTGGTTGCACATGGGGATTTAACAACAAGCATTCAGTGGAAGGAAAGAACAAAATGTGCAATACATTTAAGCCCAAGTTTGAGTCCTGTTGGAAGTCAGGAGGCGAATGTAGAATTAAAATGTGAGTTAGTAGCTGAGAACTGAAAAGGTCCACATGTGGCACAGAAATGGTAACTGCAAAACCAAAAGGAATCTGCTTTCTACAAAACCTGGAAATAGGGTTGACGGGTGTTTTTGAAAATGCCCCTGCTTTCCCCTCACTGTTGTGGATTCATTTCTTTTCCTGCACCTTGTCAGGCTCACTTTGGAGTACATTGCTCATTGATCCCTCTCCTTCCAAGAGAACAGATCTGGTTGGAGTAAGGCCTTCATTCTGGTTGAAACGTCTTGGCGTTGGAGCTCCACTGGACTGGGCTTTGATGTGGGAGCAACTGCTCTTGACCTTCAGATTCTGTTAGTAAAAGATAACAAAACGCATCACAGAGAATCTTTTTAAAAGGTATTTGTGCCTCCCATCAGCTGACTTTCACCTGACAGAGAGCATAGGAATTCTCCATCCGTCTTAGGGCTGACATTTTCTAAAATAGATGGCAATGAATAATCACTGAATAATTACGATGGGTTACATTAAAATGCATTTCTGAATATATTTCTTGGGCTGCTATAAATAGACTTCTCTGTGTGCACGCAATTTCCGGTATCTTAATGTATTTGCAAATTTTGTTCCTAATTGCGCCGCATATTACTTTCAACTTAGAGTTTTTCCAAGTCCTTCTCGAGGCGGTAATTATGTCTGAAAACATCCCTAGAGTCAGGCAAAGGCATTCATTGCTTTGAAAATAATTCCTCTGTCTTTACAAATACAGTGAACAAGAGTCTCTACTCGCAGGGACAGAAAACCCGGAGGCGGAGGTGGACACAGGGAAGACGATGAACAGCTGTGTGGTGGGGCAGGGGGCAGTACGGCCAGTGCCCCTCGGTGGCCCTGTGTCCCATTCAATGCCCCACCTGCCTCTCCTGCCGTTGCCCTGGGCGGAAACTCTTGGCTTCGCCACCCCGCCTCCTTCCCACGGTCAGCACCTGATTTAGAGTTTCCAGTCTCAGTCCCTTCCCAAATATGGAACCACAGGATCGAGACTTCTGCTTCTCCTTGTGATGTTCCCCCAGGGCAGACGGGAGGCCAGCACCCAGCAACTGAGCCAGTCCTGCCAACTGACTCAGTCCTCCGACTCTCTTCATCCCAAACATGAGCAAAAAGTCTCCTGAAAGGAGAGGTGATTCTGTAATCGCTCTTTCTGACACCTTCCTGGTATCTCAAATGCTGTTTGTCACCCCTTGGCACCCACGAGGCCACTGATTCATCATTCTTTAAAGTTTTGTGAGCAACTGTCTAAGTGCTACACTGTCCAGAAAACCCCGATTTTCTATTATTTCCCAGGAAAGAGTAAAGAACGTGGTTAGAAAGAGGTAGGAGTAAGGCAAATGCAGGTCCTTCTTTTGCCCAGTGAGCCCTGAGGTCCTGTCCCCGTTCCATCACAATAGGCATGGGGTCTGCTCGGGCTGCTGCCACCCTCTGCACTGTAATCTCCTCCCCCAGATGCACACGCAGACCCACGAACTCAGACAGACACGCAGATATACATCCGTACATAGACACACATGTACAGACACACAGACATGCACACAGACACACACACACACATCTGTGTCCCATTGCTCTGAGCATTCTAAATCCCTTTCAAAGCACAGGGCTTCATGGTCAATCGTAATGGTGCTGTTTGCATGCACAACCTCCCATCTGCTGTCGGGGAAGCTGCCCTGTCAAAGTCTGAATGATCGACCTCAAATCTAAGGCAGAATCAGAGACAGCTGAAGACACTGGGCAGTGTCCTCCACCAGCCCATCTGCTAAAGTTACCAGACTCCTCAGAGGACGTGTCTGTCCCCATGAGTGGTAAAGATTTCAGGGCAGTTTGAGTAATAAGTCTTGCTATTCTCAGAAACTAATATGTTTATATTCAGGCATGTTTTTAAAAGCTTATTATGGCACCTTTATACTTAAAAGATTCCTAGACCATAAGCTAAATATATATATTTAACTTAAAAAAATTTTTTAAGTCACATTGTTTAATCTTAGAGTAAAACAGCGCCTTTAAAACTGTCCCTATCTATTCCATAATTACATGCTTTGGATAAGAGCCTGGTTCACAGCCAAAATCCCCAGAAGATGGAGAGCATGAGCTCGGGGACACAGGCAAAAGCTAACTATGATGTAGCTTGCCTTTGTTTTTTCTTGAGAATTCCAAGGTGGTTAACTAATGTTAATGGAGCAATCATTTTCCACATACTGTTTGTTTTTTAACTTTGCTTCTTTTTCCTTCCTTCCTTCCTTCCTTCCTTCTTCCTTCCTTCTTCCCTTCCTCCTTCCTCTTTCCTTCTTTCTGTCTTAATAAAACAATCTCTGCTGATGGCGTGTTTGTAGAAAGGCAAGATTCCTTAGTATCCCCTCACCTCTTATGACAGACTGTGTGGAAATAAAGGAATAATATACAGGAATGAAATCATGCATGATGTTTTACCCTAGAGCTATTACTCATGGTGATAAAATTCATCAAAGAAGAGTTTAAATGAAAATGGTCCTCACATATTAATTAATGAATTCATTTATCCATAGCAAAAAGAGAAAAGGAGTTAAGATGATTTAGAGAAACACAGAATTTTAAATCATCACAAGAGTTTTGTGTCATCAGTGGTAGGCATGTCCTTGACTTGCCTGATCATGGTTAAGTGCTCAAAAAAAAAAAAAAAATTAAAGTCAGCTACATGCCATACCCTGTGTTACCCACTTTAAGTATATCACTCATTTGATCCTCACAACAACCCTGTGAGGTCATTATGATTTTCCTCTTACAGATAAAGAAATGAGTCAGAGAAGTCAATTAATTTGTCTAAGGTCACACAGTTAAGTGGTAGGGCCAAATTCAAACTCAGGTACGTCTGACTCCCGGACACTCCAATAGGTTAGTGAGTTAGGCTTGACTCTTTTTCTGATGACATGAAAGTTTTGAATTAAAGAGACAAGATAATCAATTAATCCATGGGAAGGATGTGCAGAAAGCAGGTATGCCTCAGTAACTACTACGGTTCTTCAGGACCGTGGAATCAAAATTTAAGACTAAACACGCCTCTCCTCTTAACTGGACAGCTTGTGTTGTGACTGAATCTTCCCTTACACCTTTCCTGCCCTTCCCACTTTGGGACCTCATCTTTTGGCATATAACCTATTGAATTCGGATGCAGATGCCCTTCTGAAACAAGGTTAAAAGTGATCAAAACTTGGGGCACCTGGGTGACTCAGTTGGTTGAGCATCCGACTCTTGGTTTCGGTTCAGGTCATGATCTCAGGGTCCTGAGAGCAAGCCCCGCATCGGGCTCCGCGCTCAGTGCAGAGTTGCTTGAGATTCTCTTTCTCCCTCTCCCTCTCCCCCTCCCCCCACACTCACTGGCGCTCACTCTCTCTCTCAAGTAAATAAAAAAAATCTAAAAAAAATGACCAAAACTCAAAAAAACTTAATAGACATGGCAAATAGCTGTACCCTGTTTAACTGGATGTCTTTCCTTGGGTTAAGGTCTTCATAGGGCTTATCCAACACATAATAGAGTTGCAAGAGCTTTTGCAGAAAATGCCCCGTTATGGGGAGAAATGAGATACATTGCCTTTCCTTCTTTTATCTGCTTTCCTCCAAAATCACAGATGTTGATACTAAATCTAATAGATAGGTTTTCTTACAGCCCCTTTAATCCTAATGTAAACTTGGGAAATGTCCAAAGAAAATGTGGGCGTTTTTGTAAAGTGCCCCCAGAAATAGTAATCTTTCCAGTGTTGATACAAAGTTGGACTTCTTGCTTCACCATGCAGAAAATCTTTGGTTCTCTAAGTTTTAAAGAGTTAAGAGAAGAGATGGAATGCCTTGGGAATTTTGGCAGGGCAAGCCGGAGCTCCTTCCCCTTTGCTTCTCACCCTGGATGGAATCTCGAAACCACATGAACCCAGTGATGACTCGGGGCTGATGCTCTTCCCTCGATTTTGGGTTGACCTGCCCCCAAAGTCAGCTCTGTGTCCGCAGCAGTCCCCCGACAGGGAGGGATGTGCGATTATCTGCAGGGTGAGAGGCTTATTTTTACCTTGTCCCTGGTTAGTTCCCAGAGACAGGGAGAAAACATTTTGATTTAGGAGCTATTTGCTAATCCTTGAGGGAAAACAGTCCCGGCAGATTAGTGAGGGTAGAGGGAAGGTAGGAGGAGAGGAGAGTGGGACAGAGGAAACAGAGTTATTTTGACTGCATTTTTTCCTTACCCGATTAAATCTTGGTGACATTTGAACTTTGTGTTACTAAAAGAACACAGCCCTGTATGTGGGGCCTGGGACCAGAGGGGTAAAGGCGGGGCCTGGAGCTGGCATGGCTGCAGGGCCGCTGGGCTCAGAAGACCTGCTATGTAGCTGGGACCGTCTCGTGTGGGGCCTGACTTCCCAGGTCCTGAGGACGTGTCGAGGGGGACACCTTCGGATCCTGCAGCTGATGCTGAAACCATGGTGCATCTCCAGGGCTGTCTACCAGGTGGGACCTGAAGCTCCTCTTACGTTTCTTTGCAGCATGAGAAATCAACGGGGGATGGTGGGGAAGGAGCGTAAGCTGCTATCACTTGTTTAGTGCTGTGAAGCGTGTTGTAATAGTGGGGAAGGGGCTAACATTAATTGAGCATCATCTTCTAGGTACCGGGCACCATGAGAGGTGCTTCGTAAATAGGACGCAATTCAATCTTCCGAACAAATGGGTAGAGTAGGTGCTTTCGTCACCGTTTTGAGATGGGGTTATTGAAACTCAGGGAAGGTTTATTGTTCATTCAAAGTCACACTGTTAGTAAATGACAGAGCCCTGTGATTTAAAGCAAGGTTTTTCTGGCTAAAAAGACAAGGACACCCTTTCCATGGGTTCATGTTCCTCTCACAGAAGAAATGCTGTTTTCTCAAAAGATGTGCGTGTGTGTGCGTGTGTGTGTGTGTGTGTGTGTCCGTGTGTTGGGGGTGGTGACCAGCTGGTAAGGAGCGGGTGGCCATGGGACAGGAGACAAGGAGGGAAGAACACTAAGAAACAATACTGAGTCTCTGTCCTCACCTTCCTGCCCTTTGGTGGCTTCCTCAGTAGCCTCTGAAGTCAGACATCCACACACAGCCTCTTTTTCTTAAGAGAGAACATTTTCTGCAGGAGGGTGGCCCTTCTGAGTCCCCTGGCTGGGGGTGCAGAGCCCTTCACATGGGGGAGACGAGAGGGTCTGGTTTCCCCATCATCCATCCGGACTGGTGGCATGAAGCCAGGTCCTGCTTGCCACGGGGACTTCCCCAGCCCAGACTGAGAGAAAGGACTCGGAACTTACTGGGGGTTGTGAAGGCAGAGTAGTAATGGGCAGCTCTTCCCCTGACTGCTTCTCGAAGGGAATGTCACTAGCTCTTCCTCCGCTGATGGTTTTTGCAACCTAGTTTCCCTCATTAAATCAACTTGAGTGGTTTTGCTCTCGGTTAGCTGGCTCACCCCACTGCTTGGAACCAAGGACATACAGCTGGCCTTTGTATTTTTAGGTGTAATTTGGCAGCATATAATCCCTTAATGAACTGTAATGGCTAAACAGTGCAGGGCCATGTGGCCACCCCTCCCCTGACCCCACCTCATGGAATGTCTGGACTTTCCTTGGAAAGGGACGTTTCCTTGGAAGACACGCCCCAAAGCCCTGTGTTGACTTCACAGAGGGACATAACCCTCCAGGACTCCCAGTCCTGCTTCTTCATCACCTTGTTGGCAGGTGGGGTGAACATAGTTCAAGTGGTTTCTGGGAGTGAGATCTTTTTCCAGAATTCTTGTGTTTGAAGGGCACATACCTGGAGTTTTACTACAAATAGCAAATCTTTCTGTAATAGATCATAAAAGAAACTTGAGAGCAGTCTTCCCAAATTGGACAGCAGTCTGAAAAATGTATACGGTATTTCGAAATGATGAGTTGTGAATCTGAAAGAATTCTGGAAAAAATCTCCCAGATGGGAGATTCAAGTAGTCATGTGGCTGGTTTGTCCATTTGAAGCTTTTCCTGAACCCCTGGTTGGCGTTTGGTATAATTCCTTAGGAAAATTCTGTCTTCTCAGTTGTTACTGTGATTGCACATGAGTTTGGGGGTCCTGACCCCTTACCTCAGTCTCCCACTTTACCTCCTGTTTGTCTCCTCTCCTATCTCATCAAGTTATATAAAAACCAAGACTCTACATCAAGGAAGCAGGGTGGGCTAGCCCCCACCCAGGGGGCTTTTACAGAACTTCCTTTAACATCGTGAGTGTCCTGAAGAGAACATTAGATCATTGGCCACCAGGCCTGGGAAAAACAAATTGTCTCTGCTCAGTTCACCAGCCCTGTGAGAAGCTAGCTAATCGCATCTCAGGCTCATTCACCGCCTGTCTCTGGCTGAGCCAGGCTGGTCAGCCCAGAGGCAGATGCCTGTAACCCGCACAGCCTTGTCCACAGCCGGCAGGTAATGCCCACACATACAAGCGGAAACCAGTCACTGACGGGAGAGCCAGGATGGCAAGTCTAAACAGTTCACTAACCCAGAGGTCCAGGGTGGCCAGTCAGCAGTCTGCAGAGCCAAGCTGAGGAGTAGGGAGAAGGGAGGGGAGCCCAAAGCTGAAAGCACCTGGCCGGAATGAGTTCCAGACAGGACTTACCATCCCCCTGTTCCCAGCCCCCACTCACGCAGGCAAGCAGGGTTGGTTTAAAAGGACATTTAAAATAAAATACAGGCTTCATGTCAAAAGGTCACAGCCTCCTGGGGAAGAGTCGAGAAACCAAATTTTGTTTTTGACTAATAGAGTCTTCAAGGAAAAAGCAGAGAGAAACTAACTTTGCTCAGGGAAGACTTTACCAGAATATCTTTTATTCCCTCATAGCCTTTGCTTTCTCCCTTCTAGAGCAGGGGTGATAGTTCAAAGTGGTGTGCGGATTGAGTAAGGGCACGTTCGTGAGAGTGTGTTTCGCATACAAAAGCGTATTCAAGTGGGATATGCTGTTTTTTTAACAAACTGTCCTCTTACTGTTTTCTATCTTGGGAAAAAATTCATCAAGAGTGTCTTTATTGGTGATAAGGTGACTAATGGTCGTTCCTATATATTTTTAGTTAATTGGGGAAAAGTCTGTGTGTTCTCCCTTATTCACACCCTGCTACCATCCTCATGACACTCTGGTACCAGGGGTGGAGGTGTTTTGCACTGAGCAATCTGGACACAGACTCCCCAGGTAAGGAGCTCAGACCCACAAAACCGCCCCCACATGAGATGGCAGTCACAAGTAGTAGGTCCCAGATTCCCCAAGACTTGGCCACAAATCAGAGGTTCCCTGGACCCCCTTCCTGGATTCCATCATTGCTAGAACAGCTCACAGAACTCAGGGAGACACTTCTTACATTTACCAGTTGATGATGTGATAAAGGATGTGACAAAGATGATGAAGAGATACATAGGGGGTATCTGGGAGGATGCTGGGCTCCTGTCCCCTTGGAGAGTTTGGGTTGTGCCACCTCCTGGCAGGTAGCTGTGCTTACCACCCTGGAAGCTGTCTGAACCCCAGTACTTTTGGGATTTTAATGGAGGCTTTTTCAAGAAGGCTTGATCAATCATTAAGTGTGTTTCCAGCCCCTCTCCCCTTCCTAGAAGATGGAGAGGTGGGCCTGAACATTCTAGGCTTCTCATTATGGCTTGGGTTTCTGGTGAGCAGCCCCCATCCAGGATCCCACCCAGAGTCACCTCATCAGAACAAAGGACACTGCTACCACCCAGGAAATTCCAAGGGATTTAGGAGCTCTGTGTCAGGAACCAGGGTCAAAGACCAAATATTAGAACAGAAGATGTTCCCCGTGCTCTTCTCACTTAGGAAAACTACAAGGGTTTTAGGAGCTCTGAGCCAGGAAGCAGGCGCAGAGACCAATATATATTTTTTTCTATTATTTCATAGCAATGGTTTCATGGTTTACAGTCTCTGTGTGGCCTAGAGTGATAGCTATCAATCCTGGCAGAACTTTAGATTCAATTAGGAAGATTTAGAAACCCCCCATACCCAAGCCTGACTCCAAGAGATTCTGATTTAATTGATGTGGGGTCTGGGCATTGGTATGTTTTTAAAGCTTTCTAGGTGATTCTAATGTGCTAGAGGGTCCTTGAGCAGAGAGCCTCATTCTACTGTCAGAGAGTAAGCAGATACTTGCAAAACCTCAATAAGCAGCAGCAGAGTCATGGGGGGGGCACTTTAAAATATACACACACATACATTAATTTCATGAGACCCACCTTAGACTTAATGATTCAGAATATCAGAGCATGGGGGCTGGCACTCTGTATATGATCCACGATATTAGTAGGAACCACTAATGGAAGACAAAAAGCGCTGCGACCCCTAAAGAGTGAGGGTTATAATTAAGGACGAGATCATCATGAGGATGAACTCAGTTCAAATTAAGCCCATTGCTTGGCACATGCAAAGCACTCAGTAAACGTTAGCCGCTTTTATTATTCCAAGAACGAACGTGATTGCGTGAGATCACGCGGAGGGTATGATGTTAGTCAGCACGTAGTGACCCCTTCTAGAACAGGACTTGACTGCAGCCCCTGGGGGAACGCCCCTCATTCCCAGATCCCCATCATGCTCCAGCTCAAGGTCACACTGCTGGGAGCACCGGGCTCTTCCCCACAGGGACCTCTGCCTTTCTGCAGTGGTTGGCTCCCAGCACTTCTTTCCCACATCCCTCTCTCGGACAAGGGTTCATCGTGGAGCCTACAATCGATACAGAATCTATAATTCTATAATCCGGGGGGGGGGAGTTTTGAAAGAAAAATGACTTAAAAATTATGCAAACTTAGGTGTGAATGGAAAATCACAGCACACTCAAATGGAAGGCAGCGGACAAATACTGTAAGCATCACAGAATCCAGAGAAATGACATGTCCATTAATTAACTGCCTGACACATCGATGTTACCCTTCTTTGTCCTGCATCTTTTGACTGCCTTACTTTTTTTTTTTTAAAGATTTTATCTATTTATTTGTCAGAGACAGAGAGAGAGTCAGGCAGAAGGAGAAGCAGACTCCCCGCTGAGCAAGGAGCCTGATGAGGGACTCGATCCCAGGACCCTGGGATCATAACCCGAACCGGGGGCTGACACTTAACCAACTGAGCCACCCAGGTGTCCCGACTGCCTTACTCTTTGATCTCTTCTTCACAAGGCAATCACTCTGTCTTCCTCTCGCACAGCGGAGCATAATGTGCCCCCCCATTACTGTTACTTTAGAAATGTTTCAGGCACCCTCGTTGTTGGAAATAGTGTGCAAATTTTTAGAATTGCTGTCAAATTTGGAAAGCCTTCTGCCAAGCTTCGTTTCCATAATGTCTTTTACCAAACATACTTGTTTACAGGAAGAGCACAGGTGTGTGCCCTCTAAGCACAGGAATTCTGGGAAAATTCGATTACATTCTATTCCCTTTGATAAGAAAAAAAATTATAGGGTGCTTTTGTAATTGTGTATGTT